TTACATTTTCCTTATAGGAGAAATGTTAAAAATACGAAAGTAAGTTTATTAACCAATAATGATGAAATTTGGCATACATTTAGTCATCATCGTATCATATCAGCTTTTAAGTGTCCACTGCCAGACATAGGCCTCCCCTTTGGAGGGTTTTGCCATTAGTTACCACGCTTGGCAGGTGGATAAGCAACCGCAGTTAGGCTTTGAAGATGTTTTAAGAAGGACGCTGCTACCCATTCCTCGCCCTCCCTTAGTCACCTCTTACGACACCCATAGGAAAGGAAGAGAAGCCTAGTCTATGCAGAGTTCACACGGCTTTACATGCAGTGCTTGTAATTATTTAATACAGGATATTTTATATTTCGGTCACGTAGACGAAGTCGCGGTCATAGCTAGTATGTCATAATATATTTTATTGGAATACTCGCCATTAAAGACAAAACGATAAATAACTTTAACAAATAAATAATCATAATATAATTAATTTTCCACAACTTTAAGTTAGAAAATTTCAAGTCCAAATCGTTAATTCAGCACTTGGTTTCTCAGACGGCGCGACGTTAGAATTAAGCCACTCACTGATAAGCATTATTAAATTTCCTGACATACTGTGTAACATAGTTAATTGCACTTAATTACGGTCGGTTTTCTTGTTTATATAGTAAATATCATTACGGATTGTTGCCGACGTGAGTGATTAAGGTGTGAGATAGGTATCGGCCGGGCCGCTGTTGGTATCACACCTGCCGTGTCCGTTCCGAAGCCTCCTATTACGTTATTAACAAAGATTCCCCCACAAAGTTTTACAACGTTTTAATTGCGTTATTTAACGCTTGTTATTGCATCCGAATGATTTATACGTTTAAAATTTTGGCAAGTTTTGATTTGTTGTACTTCTTGTTTGTTAGTAATCATGTTTTTCTTTAGTCCTTGAATATGTCTTCAGTTGTGACTTAGATTATATTCAAGATTTATTTTGTAAAATTATATTTTCTAACCAGAATTCTAGAACAAAATATAACAAGGCTGATACAATTTAAAATCGTCTTCATTTAATTCCCCTTTAATTTAATCGTAAATTTAAATCAATAAGTAACTTGTACATTAAAAACTGTCTTGATGCCAGTGAAATATATTAATAATTAAATAAAAGAATATTTCATTAATAATATTGAATATAGAAAATTCTGTTATACATATGTATATATACGAGTGTCTACGTCTAACGTCTAATCTATATTCATTTCGCGGAGCTCGCGTTGCGTGCATCACTGCAATTAAAAACGTATAAATCAAGACGTTTGGTTCACATTCAACATACATACAAACATTGTTAATACACAAATAATATTGTTAGCTCCAACAACTTCCTTTTTACCAACTACGGAAGGTTTATGGTTTTAGCAGCAGCATTTTATGTATTATGGGTACGTTCGTCTGTGCGCTCACAGATCGTAAATGTCATGTCATATTTTAGCAAATTATACCATGTCTGAACATGTGGGGACTCCAGACTATATATTTACAATTATATATATATATATATATATACTTGTGTAAGTATTTTTTTAAGTTAATCTCGTACGCGACATGTGTTTTTCACTTAATATAAACGTCACGATATCAATTCTGTCAAATTTTGTCCATTGCTCTACTTTGCTCATATTTAATGGCCGTAATATCTTAAGTACGCCGAGAAGCATGTAAAATATTTTTACCTTAACAGCGGGAATGTCGATAAATGTATCTAGAACTTCAGTCAAAGAAAGTCAACAGAATAATTTAACCTCTTTTTAAATTACACATTTTTTATTTAGTTATAGTTTTACAAACTACATTTTGTCATCCAAAATATCTTAAAGTTTGAAGACGGAGGTCTAAAACCAATGTGTATTGCTAGTGATGACTAATGAAACCGAAACATGAGCCTACACGGTTGCCCATGTAGTAAGCCATGCCCAGTATGTAAAAGCTTTGAGTTACTAAGCTACCTATATTCGGAGTTTCTTTGCGTGATAGAATCCGAAATGAGGATATCCGCAAAAGACCCAAAGTGATCGACATAACCCGAATGTGAAAGCAAACTGAAGTAGTAATGGGCTGGTCCAAAGAACCGACAAGCGACGGAGAAGAAATGTTCTTGAGTAGCGAAACCATACCGACAAACGCAGTGTAACACAACCCTTCTTTAGATGGAGTTACGACCTCAAATGCGTTACAGGGAGTCAGTGAATGCTAGTAACCCAGAATCGTTCCTTATAGCAGTCTATGGGGGAGCCTTACATTTAGTAATGGGCAGATAACGGCTGATATGATGATGATGATGATGATACTACAAGCAATATTATTTGGTCATAGATTGAGCCAATAGATTTCGTAGTATTCCAAATAAAAAAAAGTAAAAGTACTAAGTTTTAAAGTCCGTCTTTATAAAAATTGATTCAGTTTAAATATATGTAGTCAGCGAGAACGTAATACAAAACCTAAAAGGAGACTAACAATATTAACCACAGAAATAATAGGTACATGATAATGCCTAGAAATAAAAACCAATATCAAGAATTAATGAAAAATCTGCTATTAATAATTGAAATAAATGTAAAAAAATCTAATATTAATTGAAATTATTGTAATAATGCCATCTTGTTACACATTTACATTTGAATTGAAATCTAACATCTCATCATTAGGTGTACGAGTTCTTTCCTGTCTCTCGATGAGGACAATAGTCTACGAGGGAGGCCTATAGCAGAAATGAACGATGAATGGATGATATTAATATTATGATAATGATTCATACTTATTGATTGATTCATATATAAAATATATGAATCAATCAATAAGTATGTATATATATACAATATAAATGTTTATAATATTGTATCATGATCATCAATTACAATCAATTGACGCCTCATGTCCAGTTGTGGAAAATCAACAAAGCTCCATAAGAGGCCGGTATTAGCCTACTATTACATCACACAGTCAAGCTACTCGTAGAATGGTAGAGACTTTTATAGCGAATTTTCCTTCTTTCTTATTGATATTATTCTCATTCCCTTTGTTGCTTCATACGAATTTCTAGGGATAAAAATGAGTTGTGACATTTGTATTTTTGTTCCATCATATCTTTTGTACAAGTGCGACAAGGAATATATATATATATATATATATATATATATATATATATATATATATGATTTATACTTATATGCGCATTGCGTATTGATTAATTCGAAAGGTTCGAAAGAAGAATTAAATTCATAATCATTAAATTATTAATTAAATTCGTACATCTATATGAGATGTAGATGGAATATGCTTCATTTATCCCGGTCACGCGGATGAAGTCACGGGTAAAACTAGTAAATAATAATAATGACCATTAGCATTACGATTGCGGATGAGCAAATATTGCCTATAACGTCAAACTATTGCGTTTTGTATCAATCAATTTTAGTATTTAACGTGTGATACATTAAAAATATATTTGTAGGTATATTTATATGTATGTAGATAAAGATATGTAATGCTAGATAATAGTTCGATATTGATTGAACATTACACCGACAGTCGTGTTTCCCTGCGTGTTCGCTACGCCGACAAAGATACAGTTTCGATAATCTGATACAACATTCATAATTATCTAATAAACTCATGTTTTGTAACCTTTACAGTTTGCCGCTATCGGCTTACATGTGTGTTGTTCAAATCAAATCTACCTAAATCAGCTGATAATGACAATAGGTAATTCGGCAATTCGGTTTCATGTTAATATTATTCTAACGACGTCTAAGAACGATTTTTCATCATAATTACATATTATAAAATATTATTAAAATTAATTAAAAGCCTAGAGATAATTTACGAACAAATTTCTACTTCATATATCACATATCGAACGAGGTTGCACTCGAAACCAGACAAAATAGTGTACAGGGAACGAGGGGTTAAGCGACGCGACAGCACGTACGGCAGACACTGGGATTCACGTTAATTCTCTTTTTGGAGATTTGCACGTCGATTGTCGATAGAAGCCGTTAGGGACCTATCTGTCAAGCCCGTACTGTCTGGTATAGCTCCGAGCGGTAACTTACTCAAAAATTAATTATGCCAAGCGCCGAACTCCCCAAAGCTGTCAGAATAGACTGGGATAATGTAGCAAGGAACGTGAATTTTGTATAAAGTGGACAGCTCCAGCCCATTTTAGTAAGTATATATCTTGAAATATTTTCTATTTACAGTACCTATCTATGACTAGCTATGTAACAGTGAAATAATATAGATACTTTATGTAATGATAGAGATGCATAAATAATCCTCTTAATATTATTACATATATAAATATGAAAGTTTGTAATGATTGATGGACAGATGTTTGTTATTCTTTTATGAAAAACTATTAAACTGATTTGAATGAAATTTGATACACGGATACATTGTCTCAACTTAACACATAAGGTTCTTTATATATTGATTTACGCGGGTGAAACCTAATGTAATACAGCTGTTAATAGTAAGTAAATTAGGTATTCAGTTCAATTCGTGGTCGTATCCGTTCAGGAAATAATTTTTCTACATTAGATTAGATTAGTATTCAGGGTTATGGCTCCAGATTTTTCAATGTGAGTTGTGTTGTCACTACTCGTACATGGGTTAAATGTTCTTGTTTGAGTATCAGTAAGTTTGTGTAAATGTAGGATACTTGAAAAATACCATTAACGATTTAAATCACGACCGAATATAATTACATTCTTGCATATTATATCATATAATAATATATATAATAGATGAACACCGAGGCTCAGTTGTAGACACATTGCTCTACGTAATTAGGTCCCAGGTGCGATTCTCGGTCGGGTCAATTTACAAATTGATCTTTTCTAAATTAACTCGATGTATGTTGTTTAGTTTCTCATAGCATAGGATATCCTAGCTTGAAAACAAGGTGATTGGTGTAATAATGTGGCACTTATTATAATTATTACATGTTTATAACTCACCCATTAAAAGGGTATCCAGCGAAGGCTGCGTCATAAGGATGATAAACTGTAGGGTAAGGCCAACTTGCCGCACTCGCTGCTAAGTTCTCCTTTAGCTCGATTCCTGGAGCCTGTTGTCAACATAAAATAATTAATTTAACTCTATTTTTACTATCAATACATTTTTTTGTCGTTACTAAGTTTTTTCTTATTTTCTGATGCATGATATCGTTTCGTAACATTTATTTAGAACAACAAATATTATATTATACCTGTAAACGATTTTAGCATGTAGTAGAACCCGCATTTAATGAAGGTATTAATGGATTAATTAAAAGAAGATACTTGATTTTTATTATCAAAGTTATAATCATAATAAAAATTACATTGTTCATTTTATTTAATAAAAATAAAAATAAGCTAAAAGTACTCTTTTTACCTCACAAAGTTAATTGGAAAAATACATTAATAACATAGTCATTAATGGATACTAACGTTCATAAAATAAGATTTTTATAAATCTTGTGTGTCTTAATTTAATTTTCTCCATTTACCATAACATTTTATAACAAATAAAAAATTCATTGTCATCAACTAACTATTAAATAACAATATCTTTAAATTCTCTTTTCACGTTTCCGGTAGCTTTAACCATAATCCATTACGAAAATGATGCTCGTTGGATTGATTTCATGATCGATCGCTTTAACGTTTCGTTTTAACTATTATTATTTAATGGGCCAAGATACGAGGCACACGCATCAATCATCATTCGGTCGACAAATGTATCTTTTTTGTCTCTTACGAGGATTGTTGAACTTTGCTTTCTTTTATGTCGTCGAGATAAACAACTAAATTTATTACCACTATTTGTATATGTATCATTATTGATTAATGTAGTGATTTGTACTGATGTGAAATAGAGCAATATTTATGATTTATGTTCTGATAATAACATATAATGTATAGTTAGTACATTTAGAGGTATACCTTGAAATTTGTGCACCACAGTAGTCGCATAAGAAGTCTGGCAAGTTAACGAACAGAGGGTCCAAAAATTTATAGCGACGCATTAAAAAATAACCCGGGAGCGAGTCTTAATGCGGTCAACCAGGATAAATCTATCAAAAGATTTTGTTGTCCAACAACTTCATTGGTGGCCGAATCGAAAATCCGATAATAAATTTTACTCAAGTACGACAGCGTAATCCAGTCGCGCTGTCGCTCTTTGTTGCTTCGACCTTTCTGATAGCTATAATTCCAGTTTTCTGTTACCTCAAATAATCTTACTAAGCCGTAACGCAAATATACCTGTGGATTTATTGTATGTTGTTAACGTTACTTGCCCACCTTTCTTAGCTCCAAGAAAATATTTGCAAAAATAGATGAGTATGTTTAATTTGCAATGATTTACGGTATTAAACTGCGGGTTCATATTATTTACTTTAAAATTTAATATTAATTATCAATCATCTAGTTACATAAGAATGTTTTATTGTAAAATTATTTAAATTTGGATTCTACAAGGCAAAATATAGGCATGTCAAATATTATGTTTACCACAACGATAATAGTCGACAAATACCACTGATAGAACATCCAGTAGGAGTTATAGTCGCGACCATACTCTTTTTTTTATTAATTCTATCAAATATGACATTATTGGTAGTTCGTTCCCACTGTCAAACCGGTAAAGTACCAGGCGTGAGGAGACAGATATAAAATCATTGTTAAAAAGCATATGAAATAAGGTTGCCCTATAAGCACCGCATTTTTTTCTACTCAACATATAATACAACTCAATATTCTATCTAACGATCTCTCAATGTCGATGACAGGTATTGAAATATACTCTATGACCAAAAGCCATAATCTTTATTGGTATCAACATCATAACTTTAATGGAACCCACCTATAATCCCTTTAACATTAACATGTTGAACTACGAATATTTTTATGGAACGAATGAGTTTAATCCGTCAAATGACGCTGTACGCACGCAAACTCAGGTAGCATTTGAAATAAATATCATTGGAAAAGTAAGGTATTTTCATAATAATAATATCATATTTTATGAATTTATTTGGAATGTTAAATTGCTATACTTTTACTAAACAAAATGAAATTAATATATAAAATTCTTTTTACGGTTGACTCAGTTTTTATTGTTGCTTAGTTTTCGATCGTAAGTTTATTTAGGTCATTATGTTTTATTCTGCAATAAATTAGTATTATGGCCAGTATATAAACTATAGTGTTATTGTGTAAGTAATTATGGATACGTATCATTTCTATAATTATTTATTTATTATTGAATGCTCACTTGAGCCAAGACTCACGTAAATCTTCATAGATGTTATTATTATCATGAATTACGACTGTCATTAACCACAGATCTATTAGTGAGCTGTTAGACAGTGCGAGGTGATGACTTATTTTGGGTTACTTCGTTTAAACTATAAATTATTATTTTTTCAATATAATAATAACGTCCGTTTCCTGCGACGGCGAGCCACATGTGCGAATGGAAAGAGTTCAAATCACATTAGAAGTTAGAATATATTGACGTAGAATATTTTCCATTGCTTTATTTAGATTTGTCTACAGTATAAGCATATAGCGATAATAACGGTCACAAGATCATTAATATAAATTTTACATGTAAGTTTATAGAATTTTTGCACTCGGATCTGTCTGCCTACACTCTATGGGGCTTGGCGTGAATTGAGAAGTGTAGAGATAAATAATGTAAGGTTCCATTGTCACAATTATCAACGTTAAAGATTAATTGTGTATCACACCAAACAAAAAGTTTCGTACACTACCCTTACGAGTCAAAACAGAATCGTGAACTATAGATATTATAAAAAGCATGAAAAAACGCGGAGGCAGGATCCCATTGAAGGCGAGACGTCGGGCGGTGCGAGTTAACACTTTCGCCGATGATATATGATCATATCTCTATGAATGATTGAATCATCTGCCGAGACACGTTCACGGCCCCACCTTTTAACACCTTCCTCCAAAAGTTTTACTACACATCATATATTACGTACCGTGGCTACTTTTATGTTGTTATGATCATTATCATTCAAAGTCACAACCCACACACATGGCTTTGATGGTTCTTGCTCATAATACAGACAGTGTTTTTTATTATTTAATACTTAATTAGAAGTTCTTTTAATGTAGAGTATTTACAAGAAAATTTCTTTTTATTTATAATTTTATCTTTGTTGTTTATTACGTTGTAATTAGTTTATTAATTCGGAATCTACTTGCATTACAATGTATATCTTATTTTTAAATTATTAAAGTACCATATAAGACATGGGCTTGGTTTTAGAATTTATTAACGTGATATAATTGTTGACTGCCAAAAGAATTTTATGTCAGCAACTAAAGGGACTATGTCAAAACTCATGAAACAAAAAATATTTTTATCTGTCTTTATAAATATTTTTTACTTTAAAAATGTAGTTTTTTGCCTAATTTATATAGGTATTGAAATTTACTTTTTGTTTCAATGCAATATCTCAATGGAAGCAGAAAACTTAAACCGGATTTCAATATAAACTCAGTTAACTTAAAATATAATCCTACTGTACCCTAAATTCAGACAATATATTAAAATCCTGAATAAAAGAAATTGTTAAACTTATTGAGCTTATTATCTGACAGAGATAGGAAACAACTTTTTTGAAATGATGAACAAAAGGATTATGATTCTATATCATACGGATTCTTGTGTCGTAAACTTATTGTGGTACCTACTTAACACGACGCACAGCGACCGATCTCCAAATACTACTATTTTGACATTGGATCCTAATTATTTTAAAGTAATACCTTTTGTAAATGGCGTAGCATAGAAAAAAAAAAGTTAAAAATGAGCTGTCTCGATGTTACCGAGAATAATCCCTTTGATTTAGATGATATCTCATCTTGGAATGATGTGGATTTAAGCCTTTGTGAACCTAATTAATTCTGGTCGTAGTTTAATGCGATTAAAATAGTGACAGTTTATTTGGTAGTTGAACGAAACAATGGCAAATGGAATATTTGTTGTGGCTAGATGAGTAATGACTCAAATGAAGTATAGTCATAGAAAAAAAACAAGAATTTTTATTTTGTCCATAGTATTGTTCATTTAAGGCTTTACATTGATTTAATAATTGTATGATAAATCAATAATCGTTGTGGATTTATATTTTGATTATCAACTGATTTAAAGAAAAGAAAAGATTCACATTTTATTGTATGCATGTATGCTAAGAGTTGTCTTTGCTAATCCTGAACAAATCTTGAAGATTTGTTTATTATAATAATATATATAAGGCCCAGCTGATGATAAGCGGTTACAGTAGCCGTTGAACGCTTGCAATACCAGAAGCATTACGTGGGCGTTGCCGACCATGAAGAAACCTCTTTATCGCTTTTTTAAAGAATCCCAGGCTAGAGTCTCTTGAGAGAGTCATTCCATAACGTGAAAGTTAATGGGAGGAAACATGTCTGAAATCGCGCTGTACGCGACCATATAGGTTCTAAGGTATGAGAGTGAACTCTCTGTTAACGGTAAGCTGTACGACGGTAGCCGTTATTTATTGGTATTTTTTAAGAAAAGCAGAAAATAACATTAAATATGTTTTAAGAAAAGCAATTTATAAATTTTGTTGTTAGATGTGAACTTAGTAACAATGAAAAATATATCGTAAATAGTTTTCTTTGCAAACGACTATGGCATGAAAATACATATAAATTTCTTTAGACAAATATAATTAAAATTTATTTATCACTGAACTTTATGAAACTTTTTTAACTTTTATATAATCAAGGTTTTATTTTATTAGAAATTAAATTTAGAGCGATTCGTTTTATTTCCATTTGGAGTTTTAAAAAAATTATAACGTTGCGTATTCTAGTTATTTCAGGTTTCCAAAAAATTATAAGTTTCTCAAAAAATTATACTGTTTATTTATTATTATAGATATGTCATCTCTCCTGAATTATTAATATTGCTTACTTTAGTCTGTAAATTCGTTTTAATATATTTATTAACACACTAAAATATAATTCCGCATTCTCTATTCTTTTTATATTTACAAAAATTATTTAATATAAAAGTAAAGGTTGTGCAATAATACCTATTATTTATTACTAAACATTATATTTATAGACCTTTCAATACCTATACTCTTACAAATGTATATAATTACCTAAATGGAATTTCACGGTAGGTATCTTAAAATTCGCTACTAATATTTTGGAGCGGAAGTACCGATTTTTTGGAAAATGATTGAAGTTAATAACTATTATATTACGCCTACTATATCATCTTTTTTATATTTTTAAAATTTAAGATATAAATGTAAAAAATATAAATAAATTTAAGTAATTGAATTTATACGTCAATAAAGAACGTGTGCAATCGTGGTGATACATATTTTAATTTACATTATAATGTAACCAAACTAATTTGTCCACTATAGTGAATACTAAAGAAATATTAACTACATATTTTGTAATAACAGAAGCGTCTTAGAATCATTGCATTCACTCGCCTATTGAATTAATCTATATAATTATATAGCAAAATTTCTTTATGACTACAAAATTACGCTGTTACCATTATCACAAGACGCCTATGATATGTAATAGTGACCTCAAAGATTTTAAATAAAATCTTAACATTAGAACTACTTCTCTCATAAACGAATACCTATGATATTACCTTAAAATATTTTTTAACTAACAATTCACAGGGTAGGGTTCAGGGAAGCAATCAGGGAAGTTTTGAGAGTGTACACACCGAGAAAAAAATATTCTAGTAAAACTATTTAACGTACTCATCAAGTGATCAAGTGATTTAATTCGGACTTATATACTCTGATTAATAAAAATAAAAAAATAAATACTCCAATGAATCAATTAATTAAATTAGCGATGGGTCTCTTCATTTATGTTTATACACGTGTATGTTATATTTAGTTTTTATTCCCATTATGAAGGTAAAATAAAATGTCTTTCAATCAAAGTATTAATGATCGTTTATATGTATCGCACAAAAACAAGTAAAAGAAACTTGTTTTAAATCTATCATATTTAAACATGTTGTATTTAAGACGTAAACAACTATTGAGCGCAATAAGCTGCAATTTGTAGATATGCACAAAATTTATATTACATGACTCATTTATAAAAAACAAAATGTCCGCAATGCACTACATATTCGTGATATACTCATATGTTATATTTTGCATTTATTTTTCTAATCTAAATGTAATTAACCAATCGGATGAGTAGATAAATAGTAATTATAACCTACATTTTATTATTTGCAAATTGAAGATTTCAAAATCATTCTAGCAAAGCATTCATAAGGATATCATATAATAATTTAACAGCGCGGAAAATAGGAAATTTATAGGAGAAATTAATATGAGGGGTTTCAATAAGAGCAATAAAAGCGAAAACAATAATTTTAAAATTTTGTTGTCCCTATGTTTGCTCTAGCAGCACACAAAAACTACTACACCGAATTGGATGCGGTATTCCTAAATGTCTCACTTAATATCTGGTATATATTTTATCTTGATATGCGATCTAGATTTGGTTTACGAGTATTTCATTGGTTTTCCTATTTTTAAAATCCACGCGTACGCGCGAAGTAACGGGCAAAAGCTAGTATAGTAAACAATAGATAGACCTGATGAAATTTACTGAAGAATAAAAAAGGTAACCTTTTTATATATTATTATGTGTAGCAATTATGCTATAAATGTATAAATGTTAACTGTCATCTAAGTATAGATAAGTTGATATTAAACAACAACGCCCATTGATAACGCTGCCACTTCCAATGGTTAGGTGTTATACCTCTTAAGCGCTACATTTAAATTTCTTTTTGCGAAAGAACACGATGCAAATTCACGTAATCAGTACCTACATAGTAGAGGTGTGTATAATATCTATATATTGTAGTGGTAATAACTGTATATTGGCCCAATAAATAATATATCGGTTATCTAATATATAATATCGAAATAAAGCATCAGATTGAAATGAATGTAGATATATTTTTGATGTGGATAATACCGAAATGAATGATGCCTTTTTTCCGCCATTAATGTTCAGACGGACCTAATATATAGATATCGAAGCGGTATCGATATTTTACCCATGCCTACTACATAGATGATTTTATTAAATTTAATACTATTTCTAAAAATAGTTGTCAAGAGGTAAAGACATTATAATAAAATTATTTTATACAGCTAGTCCTAAGGGCTGCCTTTTATTCTATATTTTACTAGTTTGTTACTAACTAAAGCGTATCTTTGCATATTCATGAATAGATTTTTCAACACAATTTAAAGATAACTTATCATCAGTTAAGAAATATATGTTTACGACATTCTGTACACTTATGTCATTCAATTTTTAGTGTTGTTATAATGTTTCAAGAAATATTGTTTTAAATGAACAAAATTTGTCTTATCGTGTATTGCTTTACTGTGATATTGCCTTGTACCTACTCATACTTGATTAACTACACATGTAATTTCTCTATTCGGATAATTAGGTTGAAATTTGTGTCAACAGTCATGCTTAATTATCGCAACTAATAAGTATGAATAATTTGGTAGGTATCACAAGCTAACATAATGTCAAGTGGGTGATCTGTCAAGTGTTGATTTCGCAAAATCATGTTCTAAGTGAAAGTAAACTAAGAGAGGTATTCAACAATAAATAGTTCAACAAATTGATATAATAATATTGTTTTTAAGTCTATATTTATTAATTTTGTAATTATTATATTAATCTCACGGTTCATTTTTGCATGTAACCTATCTGTAGTTGAAGTATTATTATTTTCCTAATTATCTCTGTATTTAATCTGTATTTATTCACTGTTAATATTTTAAATATGTTTTACTTTCTACCTGCCATTTAAGATTGCTTGAGTGACTGTAATAGGTATATATTATAAAATATATGATTGGTACTAACAGCGTTTGTGTAGAACGGTGGCTGATCAGCAGCGAGTGCGGGGAAGTACGCGGCCATGCCAGCAGCTGTAGCAGCTGCCGCGTCGGAGTACGGGGCGCTGTACATAGACAGCGGCACCCCTGAAGCCAGCCTCTGGTAGTTGAGAAATTCGTACTGGCACGAACAAACAGTTTGTCCAGTGATAGGGTCTTGGAATATTGTGCGGCCGGTATCACAGCAGCGCGGCGCGCCCGCAGCCGGCGAGCTAGGTCTCCCCGCACCGCTTGCACCGCCCGCACCACCGCTCATTCCCGCTTGCGCCGGCGGCGGACTGTTGGAGGCTGTCGATATGGTGCTCTGTAAGTTGTAAATTTTGAAATGCCTTTATGGCGCGTTTTCTCATTCGCTATTGCAGACATACAGTTTTATGGAGGCCTCCGTACGCACAGCGTATACACATGTACATATGTACATTCGCAAAGCAGAATGTGGTATGGTTACGTGATTACTTACTCATTATAAAAGTACACGACGCGTAACGTCGAGGGATAAAATAAATTATTAGCATAGTAAAATTTAATTGATGGATAGTAAATTACTATTTAACGATTGTGTGAAAAGGGGTGAGAATAGATGCTGGGCGTGTCATGTGCATCGTTAGTATACGCAAATTCGTAACGCTCCAGAAACCCCTTTGAAACGAATGAAAAAAAAAAATGCAATGCATCGAAACGCTAATACGATTCTATTAAAGAATTTAGAATTTAGCAACAATGGCTTCGAGAAGGACATATTGTTGTCGTAATAGATTTATTCACTGGACTACCTGAATCAATACGCGGCCGCAGAATAAACATCCGCTTGTGTCCGACAATAAAGCAGAAGATGCGAACTTAGTTCGTACGACCTTTTATTAATTGAATACTGCAGACTCGTATGCGGATAAATAACTTTCTAAATATTTGTCATTTGAATGAAAAATGGTCCCCTACCGTCCAACGTTCTTTGTATTCTGTATGGGATTAGAAACCGAGAAATGCCACCCGAGCGCTTATGATACAACTACATGTCAGTATTGAAAGAAAATCATAATTAATACCCCCATTGTGTCCTTTCCGTGTTATTATAGGATATTTCCGGAAAAAAAATATTGTTATGAATGAAAATTGTCCTGATAGATTAATGACATTAATCTTTACGTAGGCGATTGGGCCATGTGACACCACTATAATGATTCACTGTAGATGTCTTGAGATGCGTGTAGTGATAGGTTCTATGCATTTGACAACAAGAAATAGAAACTTGTAAATTGTGAAACCATTACTTGTTTACTTAACCTATAATTGCGTAAATAGATGGTTTTTCCATTAAGTAAGCCTAGTAAAGTCGCGTCGTGGGTCGCGGTTGACTATGGACTAAGCTGGTGCCCTGACCCGTCTGTCTGGTATATGGCTTCGCCTTTAACACACCGCATGTCACCGATCTCTATGTCTTCCACTGTTATCAACTCCAACATTTTGACTTACGCATTCATCAGGGCCTATAGTGCGACAGGCTAAAAACATTTGTTGTGTTAAGGGAATTATTGAGGTAATCCCGAAGCCGTTAAACGTCGAATCCCTGTATTACCTACATTACATACCCTGCATAGTTATTTAATCCTTGCTCGCTAACATTGTATATACACGTCGCGGTTCCAACTGTAGGTGTTCAGAACTCGAGCTACCTCTCGTTCGACCTAATGAGTACGGTAATAGAGATTATATTGATCTGTATGAGGGGTGCGGCTGAAATCGACGCCGGTGCTTAAAAGGGATTCAATCCGTTCAAATGATACGTATGTCTGTTGGATGAAATGACATAATTTCTGTAGTACAGCATGCCCTCTTTATCCGGTCGGCCATTGTGGTCTGTATATATGGGTATGTGTGCATAAAATTTTCATCATGTTTCACCTATGTACATGTACGAGTATGTGCCTTGCTGTATCGTGTTTCACCCCTTTTGGCAATTATCAGCATATAATATTCGTTACCTGTTTAAAGTATAATGAAAATCAATATCTGCTGAAGATTTAATATAATCTTTAGAATCTATGTACAGAAATAATCCCTTTTGTATATTACTATTTGAAGTAATAATTATGTTCACGCCACATAGACAGCGCAGAGAGATAGTACAGTAGTGAAAAATAGTATGTTTAATAAAAATAATATATAATTTGAAAAATAGTACAGTAATAGCTATAAACAACTAAGTTGTCCAAAAATACGTAACTTGCTTGCACACTAAACTTAATCTAGTAAATTTAATGATATTTAAGAGAAGATGCTCGGAGTAAAGTTAAGTGCACGTTACTAGTAAGCCGTCCCGGCTTTGCTGGGATGCAAATTCTCCATAAAAATGAGTAAATATATAAATTATAATGAAACCATATTCAAAACCGTACCGTGGTTTAGAAGAAGTAAGTGGAGAAATAGGTAGACGCCGTGAGTAATATTGTTTTACACTATCTAAAAATAAAGGCATAATATAAATTCTGAGATTTAGTTATCATGCAACTCGATGAATTACAAATCTTAAACTTAGATTTTAAATTCCTACTGAAGTTTATTATTTGTAAACAATTGTAACTTTTGTAACGTTTACTGCCAATTCAAATACTATCGACAGGGACAAGCGTTAAAGTAAGTAAATGTACGTCTTTAAGTATCGGTTATATGTGCTTATTAGATAAAGAGCACAAAAAAGTTGTCATCATATCCTTTTCAAATATCGGACGGCTGAGGATTAAAGTGCCGCTGCACCTTATCTTTAGCAGACATCTTTTAAAAAACAAACACGAGAAGTATTCTCTTTTTGTCGTCTTTTTTATCGTAACCCGCAGGATGTGTTAGAGTCGTTAAGCCCTTTTAAGTGTTAAACCATGTAACTGAATATTCGAGCGTATAAGGGTCCGATCTATTTGTTAAATAATGTAAAAAAGTTAATCTTAGAGAAATCGGACCCAATGACATGAATTTCGTTAAAGACATCAGCGCAGCAAAAAATATCGATGACATGTCGCTCACAACTAACTGCGGGTGATGTCGAGACTCTGCTCAGGTACCACGGCGATTTTTTATCAAAGCACTACCTACGGGGACATCGTTAAAGTATTAAATTTACGATAAGACATACGATATGCAGGACTAAAATATAGTGCTTGCTAATAGTTAATTTGTGAACAAAGCGACACTAACAATGTTTGTTATTATAGATGGCCGAGCGCAACACAATTGCAGGCCATCTCTGTGTTCCGTTAATCTTGCATGATCTGACAATATGTAAGACAACCGATGTATTAAGATCTCTGTTTACAGTTCTCCGAGGACATTGGTAGCGTGTTGTCACTAAAGTGTCAGTGATTCGAGTAGTTAGTACGAATGCAGCTTAAGCTATTGTAGCTCTCAGAGTAGTGAATGGAAATGTTTAAGAATTAACGTTCTCAGCTAATTTTTTCGCACATGAATAGGATAATAATCGCAATCCGATCGATTGTTGATAACGCAGTCGTGCATCACGGCAAACTACGCTATCGTTACATTCCCGCCTTGAGAAAAATGTGTGCGAATTATTCCAATCTGGCACATTTTTTTCTTTCTCTAAACATCAGGTTAATTGCAATAGATTGTTATCTATTATAAAATCATTTGTTTTACAGCGAGCAGTAGCAAAACTTATTGGTATATGGCATAAATCTACATAATTTATTCACACGTATTTATTAATTTAAACTTTATTGACCAATAATATTATACGAAAGTTGTACTTAATGTTAAATATTTTCTATCAATCTCTGAGAATTGTGGTCGTGTGGACTCCAGAAGAAGTTTGTAGTATCTAAATATAATAATTATTAAAAGACGTTTAATTTTCTATTACACATTTTCACGCTATATACTCTATACTTAGATAAAATTGTACTAATGTATCTTGTAATCTCTGTGCAAATTTCTACCCTTTGAACCGAAACACAGCCATGTATGCACAGCTGTTCGGCGGCAGAAACATCTACTACTACCGATAAAATTAAAATTTGATTCAATCCAAGACAGAGAAACATCACATTATATGTATATAATCTATACTAATATTATAAAGACGACAGATTTAATTGTTAATTGTAATGAATAATTTCAAAAGCTACTCAACCGACTTCAAAATTTGTTTCATTTATAGAAAGCTAAATTATAGGCTATATATTATTTTCAAAAATTCTATCTACCTGTGCGAAGCCTGACCCGATCGCTAGTATTAAATAAAACCAGAACAATTACACAAATTAATATTACAAATAAAATGGTCCAAATTTACATTTATTTTTCAATCTTTTGAGCTTTTATTATAAGACGTTATCTGTCACTATTTAATAAACGACCTTTTAAGGTCTTGTCTGAACATTGTCATCTTTGTCGTCGACCTCTTTTTTTAACTCGTTTTTCCAATTTATTTCTAAAGTGGCTGCTGATATCAAGAGCTTGTAAGGTAAAATACTAAAGAATAACACCAAAACTTTGTTGGATGTGTGCAGGTAGAAAGTTTGCCATGACATGAGCGTTTAATGTATTTCTGATCTAAGTCTCGGAAGGAACTGATCGGGTTTGTTACTATTACTACTTGCAATATTGTGATTTGATTAACGATGTCTTATATAGATTTTATATATATCACATAGAGAAGTCACAATTGTGGTCTATGATAGAGCCAATTAGAGAACGATGCACGAATTTGTTAGCCCGTCAAAAGTAAACTCTTATGTATTGCAAAAAAATTATAGTAATTAAGCCGTCCGTGAAGCTCCTATTAGAACCATAACATATTTTGAGATATTATATACTTAATATGAGAATAAATCAACATAAAATAGATAAGAAAAAATTTACAAATATTAAATAAAATAAAATAATATCAAAGACACATAATTATGTATATGAAAAGGTCGACTGACCAAGCTATTAATAAAATTAAGAGAATAAAACTGATAATTGATTATATTAATGTTACCAAGTACCTACACATTGTCATAAAGCCATAAGCTGATTCTTATTAGAATAAATTCATTTTCTAACATATCGTGTGATCCGGTCTTAATTATTAACGTGCCAAGTCTTTGCGTGAATAGGAAAACTGTTAATAATTAATCTCTCATACTAAGTTTTTTGCAGCGACTTTTCAACGATCTAAGATAGGTATAGTGATTGAGCTCGATATAGCATGATAACTTTATGTCTGACATGTGCCTTTCTCCAGGAAAAAAAAAAATAATCCCACTGGATGAAGCATTTCGAGTTCAGTAACCTTTATTAAATGAAATG